CTTGGCTACCACGCCAACCGGCTTAACAATAGTGGCCTATGGCTATGTGAGCCTTGGCTACCACGCCGACCGCCTTAACAATAGTGGGCTATGACTATGAGAGCCTGGGCTACCACGCCGACTGGCTTAACTCTAATTAGACGCGCACTATGTGTAATGTTTAATTAACAAAATGGATATATGTTGCAATCCGATAGATAAGACCCCAGCACCCACCTGAGCAAATATCATAATTTAGTCATTTGATAACTGCTGTTACTTTCTCCACTTCATCAGTCCCAGCGGCAGCATAACAGTTTGTTAATTCATGTTCGTGCAATGATGAGACGGATTAAGTTACCCGATGCATGCCATTTTACTCTCTCGTGCAGAAAAAAGTTGTCAAAGTTACAGTGCACAAAACCCCTGGGTGGACTGACCTGAATGAACTGAAAAAGCAGAATATAAATGTTCTTTCTCAGTATTCTGAATTACACAGCACAGCGAGAGCACACGTTGCACAAGCAGATTTCTCTGAACTACACTACCCATAATGCATTTCACTCGGAACTAATGTTACAGCTGTAGATAGTGATCTTCAGCGTCTCCCGCAACACTGTCATTGATATGACTGTGATAAGCGCGTGCTTCTGAGGCTGCGTGCAGCTGAAATCAACCACACACTCATCACAATGAAAACACTGATCTTAAAAATAACGAACGTGAACACTGTGATAATCGCCGATGTATATGGCGAACCCCTGTTGAAATGCATACACAAGAATGCTTATTTCATTTAACCTGTTTCATGTCCGTTACTATCGGCGTGTCCTCAGAGCGTTTACATATGCTCTAAACTGCGTTTGCTCCGGATGTATTAACACAGATGCTAAATGCTGCTGCATACAATGCAAACTGCTAACATGACACTTAGTTTAAACTTGATTATGGTTGCTCATTTTTGAATTCAATTAGGCAGACCACGCAATACACAGCAATATGGATTAGAAGAGCATTCACTTATCTTAGATGTTGATTTCGCTGTTCTGAAGCAAGCTGCAACTGCTACTGCAAGCACTAATCATATATTTGAATGTTGAGCAGCGAGCTCATTGGCTACCGATACTGGAGAGAACCAATCAGCTGTGCCATGTGATGATGTCATTAGGTCAGATTGAGTTAGACCTATCGGACTGCACCATCTAGAGTTTCCTGCCAGAACTCTGTATTTATTTAAATTAGAAATCTTTTGTAACATTATAAATGTCTTTAATGTCACTTTTGATCAATTTAACGCATCCCTGCTGAATAAAATTATTAATTTCTTTCAAAAGAAAAAAAAAAAAAAACGTAACTTTTGAATGGCAGTGCAAACTTCAATTTATTTCTGTTTTATGTAAACGTTTAAGGAACTTTAAGTCAAAGAAAAATACTGTTCACAACCCATTACTTCTCTAATGTCACGCATCTCTGACTGAAACATGATATTTAAATTTTAAGAAATGTAGGGAGGGACTTGGTTTAATGCATCAGGAATTGATTAGATCACAAAAAGTGGTGTTGCATACCAGAATGAAGCCAGACTTGAATGCAAGTTTGCTAAAATGATGCCAAAACAGCTATTTGGCTATTGATTAACATAATCGAATAGCCAGCACGCCAAAAATGATGTCAGAAGAAAAGTTATATTTTGATGAAAGATTACAGAAGAAGTTTTTGAAATGCACTGAAGAACCGTTCAGAACCAGACTTCATGTTGTCTAGATTAAAGATTCAAAATCACACTGATACTCAGTTCAGCAATCAAAATGTAACCGACACTGATGACCTCATCAGAGATTTGCATATTAAATTGTGATTGGCCTTCTTTCTTAAATTTTTTTGCATTCTGAATTAAAACTGGTCTCACATAAAGAATGCAAAACCTACAACCTAAACATTATTCTTGCAAGCACTGCTACTTTTTTTCAGCAAATGCAAATCTAGTTTCTTCCTCACACTCTTTCTTTCCCCTTTTCCACTATTGTACTTAAAAACAGAACGTGACTTGTACGTCAGCCCTATTTTTCTCCTTTTTGCTCTTCGGTTTGCTTGATGCAGCTCCAAGTGTTTTACGATCCACGGTGGAGCCGCGCACAAAAGAGCGATTACCTCCAGAACGCGGCACCAGTTACGAGCGTCCAAAACAAAAACGCACACCTTAGACCATCGCTCACAAATTGCACGCTGTTCTGCGCTGGAAATAACCGGAGAACTTTGAATTATTACATCATGTTTTAAACACACACACACAAGCTCTCTGGCGGGCTGTCAGGAGTTGAGAAATGACACTCGGAGAGAAACGGCGTCACAGGAGAGTGAGAGGAAAGCTTGTTCCTGCCAAAACACAAACAGGATTATTGTGGTGCATTGTGGGTTTGGATGGTGACTGCGCTTGCATTGAGTCCGATCATCTCTGGACTACAACTTGTTTGTTCACAATAGGAGATGCACGACTACTAGTTAGTAACAGACACTTATATCAGTGAAAGTAAGACTGGATGGCGAATGATGAGTTATTGATATCAGTTAAACACTGACCTGCTGACTACTTTTCTGAACGACTAGTTGACTATGGAGACATGGAGGGAGAAAGTGAGAGATGTAAAGGCTTACGGGGGGTTGTCACATTTCCTCTGTCTGAAGCACGCTCCTGTGCCACATGTTCGGCTGCACATGCTCCACGTGCTCCATGGACTCCAGTCTCCATCCACATGCTGCGGGATGGGTGTTTTACTGACGCACTCACCCGCCCTGCACCACTGATAAAGACACACACATAAGTGTTAATCCAGCTAAATGAAGACAAACCACTGGTTTATATTGCTTTCATATGAAGTTGATTACAGGCAGTGCTGCTGTATTGACACTCTGCAAACATTATAGGGTTTGTTCCCAACCACTAGCCTCATTTATTAAACTGCTGCAATTATGAATTTTATGTTTTAAGAAATCCACGTTGATAATCCCCCATTGATTTACACTACATTTTTTTAATGCTTTTAAAAAAGAAGTATCTTCTGTTCACCAAGGCTGCATTTATTTGATCAAACATTCAGTAAAACAGTAATATTGTGAAATATTATTGACGTTAAAATAACAGTTTTCTATTTGAATATACAGCATGTTAAAATGTAATTTATTGCTATGATCAAAGCTGAATTTTCAGCATCATTACTCCAGTCTTCAGTGTCACACGATCCTTCAGAATTCATTCTGATATGCAGATTTGCTGCTCAAGAAACATTTCTGATTATTATCAATGTTGAAAACAGTTGTGCTGCTTCATATTTTTGTGGAA